CCCCAAAACCCCAAAACCCCAAAACCCCAAAACCCCAAAAGTTAAATATTGATTTTAGTAAATATGAGTAAGGTTTTATGAAATTAAGATTTGAATGGTTAATCTGATATTATTATATCAAAGACTGAGGAAAGATCTTGCTACATTTTCTGTTTGATCTTCATCTCTAGATTTTGGTTGAACATCAAGAGACATATTGATAATTGAATATCTTTAATCTCCATTTGGATCTACTCCTTTAAAGCCTTGGGTGCTTGATACTTTTTTGAAGTTGACTCTATAAATACTAGGATCAGTTTCATAAGTTTCTCCCCAAGTTGTGGTATCTGTTGAGTCAATAAGGCTTGTGCCGATGACAACAAATTCCATATAGTTGTCTCTTCCACTTTGTCTATCAGGACTACTGAAGACATCTGTAGTAGTCAAAGATCTTCCACTCTCTCTCACTCTGCTTTTAAATGAAGCAGCACTAATCTTGATACTTCCATCTTGTGAGAATACTATTTAGTCTCCTTGTGTAAGGTAACTCCAATATACATTTTAGATAGAAAATTAGCTTGAGGATCCTTTTTTCGAGGATCTGAGATCGAACAAAGATATTCCATACTCACCAATCACATTTATTGTTGTTTGGTTTTGTTAATCAATCAATAAGATTGCTGTTGTTTCATCGCATCCAAAAGCAAAGTCTAAATTTCTTAATGAAGCTAATCGAATTGCCCTGCCTTATCTCCCTCTTTAACTAAAATGGGTATCGAGAAGGCCTGTCTAAAAGATGTCCAGACCACCTTATGGATCATATTGCAAGTCATCTTGGCAGTCAGAAGTTGTGCAAATATAATCAAGTGGTTTGTCTACGAGTGATTAAAAGCTTTGACCTCCAGCAATCATTGGGACATCTTGCTTTTTAGAGGGTCCTCCCATTACAGCAGTGCCAGCACTCGATCCACTTAGAGTAACTTAGCCTGAATTAACTCTCTATCTTATTATTTTCATTTCATCAGTATCACTACCGCTTGAAGTAATGAAAGACTCTTTATGCTTGGCTTAGTCCCCTCCGCAAAAGAATATTCCAGTGATTCTATTGAGGTCATCCATTAATGATCGAGAGTCTTTACATTTTTGAATTTAGTAATTTGTCAGATCTGGATATCTTCTCTTTGTATCATATTCTCCATATTCAGATGCCACGTAATTTTGAATATTATCGCAGTCATTGTTTTATCTTGCTTTCCTAAGCGCTAAATCTATTGGAATCCAGACGACTTCCTTGGGTCCTGCTAATTTAAACGCATTTTTGTAGAAGATATAGGTGTCCATATAATCTTAGGAGGATGCTGAGACAATCCCTATCACTGCATTAGATCCTCCTGAGAGATCTACAAATTTATCAAAAAGATTTTAGGTATAAACTGGAGAGTTCTTGTATGATACAATTTCAGATTAGGTAATAGAAAGGAAATTCAAAGTTGCTTCCCAATTGTCATCAGATAGATCATCAATAAAGTGAGAATCTATTTTAGCTATCTGAGTCTTAAAATCATCAACAGAGTACTTTTTGCTTTTATCAAGTCTTTGGAGATCAGAGATAGCCCAGGAAGGATAATCTTTTTTAGCTTTCAAATTCTATATAGATAAATCAGTAAGCTGTAGCATTTCTTGGTATTTTATTTAAACGTTTGAGGGATAGCCTTAATCCTAAGCAAGTTTCTGCCAATCAATTTTAGAATCACAATTAGTTGGTTAGAGAGATGAACAGAGATTGGTTGCTCCTCCAATCAGCAATAGTTTCTTTTGAGCATAAGCGAAGTCACTTGAATTCAATAGTAATAGCCCGATTGAGAGGATATTTAGGTAAGAGCGGTTTATACTCATGAGTGTGAAATGTTTTATAATAATTAATTATCAATAATGAAGAGAATCTTATTAGTATCTACTTTAGTTTCCTTACTAAACTATTCAAATTCCTCAGCGATAAACATATAAGAATTCCTGGCAAAGTTCTTTAAAAATTCAAAAGTATAGGCATCTGCTTCACACACCTTAAAAGGTAGCAGATTCGCCGAATTCGCTGATAAAACATCTACTCCAGTGATTGGCATTATCTCTTAGACTCTTGAAGCAGAGATGGTTAATGATACTAGATTCGCTGGATATCACTCTTACATAATGAAGAGCTATGTAGATTTTGTTGAACAAGCCGGAGGAAGAGTTGTTCCGCTTATTGTCGGAGAACCTTAAAATGAGACATTAGCTAAATTAGCTAAAGTAAACGGAGTCTTATTCCCTGGTGGAGATGGGGATTATTTGGAATATGGTAGATTCATATTTTAGACACTCAAAGAATATAATGATAATGGCACTTATTATCCCGTATGGGGAACTTGTATGGGCTATGAATATATAGTAAGCTATATTTCAGACAATGGCTGGAATGTTTTGGATGTGTTTGATTATGATACAGGTTCAATGAGTTTGGAATTTGTCTAAGACCCTAGACATACCAAAATGTATAATTGGATTGGCGAGGAAGCTTTTCTATTCGAAAATTACAACATGACATATAATGCTCATCACTGGGGAATGAATCCAGAGAAATTCAAATCTGATAAAGGGCTTTCTGAGATTTTCCATCATACAGCAATTAGTTATATGCCTGATGGAAGACCTTTCGTAGCATCAGTGGAGAGTGACAAATATCCTTTCTTTGGAACATAATTCCACCCTGAAAAGGCAGCTAGAGTTTATAGAGAAGATCTTTACATTGATCACTCTTGGCTATCTATCAATTTGAACAAACACTTTGCTGAGTACTTTGTTTACTAAACCAGATAAAATCCAAATAACTATGGAACCTATTCTGAAACTCAAAGAGATATCATCTAAAATTACGACTTAATAGTCTCTGATTAATGGTTCGACACTGTTTATGTGTTCAAACAATTCTGAGACGGTATTGAATAGAATAGAATCACATATTTGTGATTTGATTGATCTTAATCTTAATTTCATTATCAAAAAATTTGCTCTCAATTTATTATCTAGGGGTTTTGGGGTTTTGGGGTTTTGGGG